GAATGTGAAGCCGGACTCCCTCTCTAGGATGTATGCCCCCCCCCAGGATTCCGAGGCAGTGGACCCCATCATCCCGGAATCACGCTTTGTGGGCGCAGCCACCTGGGAAATTGAGTCTGTGGTCAGGGAGGTGCAGAAGGAGTCTCCGGACCCCAGAGGAGGTCCTCCCGACCGGCTGTTCGTCCCCCCTTCTGCCCGGTCCCAGGTTCTGCAGTGGGGACATTCCTCCAAGCTCACCTGTCACCCTGAGGTCAACCGGACCCTCCTCTTCCTGCGCCAGTGGTTCTGGTGGCCGGACATGTCTTGAGACACTCAGGACTTTGTGGCTGCGTGCTCCACTTGTGCTCGAGGGAAAACCCTGCACCGACCACCTGCCGGCCTGCTGCGCCCTCTGCCCATCCCCAGTCGCCCCTGGTCTCATATCGCGCTGGATTTTGTCACCGGGTTGCCTCCCTCGGGAGGTAATACTGTTATCCTCACGATTATCGACCGTTTTTCTAAGGCTGTTCACTATGTGCCCCTCCCTAAGCTTCCCTCAGCCTTAGAGACTGCTGACCTTTTGACTACCCATGTCATTAAGTTTCATGGCATCCCCTGTGACATCGTGTCAGACTGAGGCCCCCAGTTTGTGTCACAAGTGTGGTCTGCTTTCTGCAAAGCGGTGGGCGCAACAGCGAGTCTCTCCTCTGGTTACCATCCGCAGACAAATGGACAAACAGAGCGGGCTAACCAGAGTTTGGAAGCGGCTTTGCGCTGTGTGGCCGCTCATCACCCAGCTTCTTGGAGCACATTTTTGCCTTGGGTCGAATATGCGCACAACTCACTCACAAGCTCCGCCACAGGTATGTCACCCTTTATGGTTTGCAATGGTTTCCAGCCACCTTTATTCCCTGAGCAGGAGGAGGAGGTGGCCGTACCTCCGGTGGAGGACCACTTACGCCGGATCCGTGGAGTCTGGAGGAATGCCAAGGTGGCTCTCACTCGCTCCGCCGAGCGCAACAAGCAGTTGGCGGACCTCCATCGCTCCCCGGCACCGGAGTACAGGGCTGGCCACCAGGTCTGGTTGTCGACCCGGGACCTGCCCCTACAGACCGAGTCATGTAAACTCTCTCCCCGCTACGTGGGACCTTTTCCTATAGATAAAATCATCAATCCTTCATCCGTCCGATTGGTCCTCCTGGCCGCGATGAAGATTCACCCCACATTTCATGTTTCTTTGATTAAACCTGTTGCCACCAGCGAGCTTAGCCCTCCCCCCCCCCCCGCTCATTGATGACCGCCCTGCCTTCACAGTTGCCAAGATCCTGGATGTTAAGCCCCGGGGTCGTGGTTTCCAGTATTTGGTTGACTGGGAGGGATACGGTCCGGAGGAACGTTCATGGATATCTCGCCGGCTCATTCTGGACCCGGACCTGCTACGGGACTTTTATAGAGAGCACCCCCACAAGCCTGGTCGGACGTCGGGAGACGTCCGTTGAGGGGGGGGGGGGTGTACTGTCGTGAAATGGACGTGTTTTAGTAGATGTGCATGTTTTTTGTGATTATGTCTTTTGTGTGGAAGGCTGCTTTCTGAGTTTCGGGTTGGGCGGGGCTGATTTGGAGGAGTACGCCCCGGCACAGCTGTGGCGAATCATCCCAATCAGCGCGCTGGATAAAAGCTTCTCTTCACTTGCCCTCCAGTGCCAAACGATTGCCAACCCATATGTGGTACTATCCGGCCACTTAGTTGTTTGACACGAAGCTCTCACTTGTGCTCAATTTTGAGTTCTCTGGCAACCTGCGTGTGTCTCTGTGTGCTTTCCAGCGTCTCCTCTGTTCCAGTCATTCGAGCCTTCCACACCAGCCGTCACGCCGCCCTCACATCTCCCCTCACGAGCACTGGCACGAG